GCCCAACCAGCCGTATGGGCACTCCGAGGTTTTCAACTGCCGGCAGTGGAAGAACAAGTGCTCACAGTGGTCGGTGTCCCGGTCGAATCGGCGGCCCTCGCGCACGCTCGGCTTTGCCAGGCGCGGGGGCGGACACAAAAAACCACCCCCACAGCCGATGGAAAGGCGCCACCAGCTGACAGTTCCCGCCACGTTGGGAGAGTCAAATCGGAACGGCTGCGCTGCGAAGCGAGCTGCGGGTCGGGGCTGTCAAGGTGAAAAACTCTTGTGCAACAAAAGGCACGCAGCGACTCGAGACAGCCAAGCAACCAGGACGACCCCACGGGCATGTTCCCGTGCCAAACAAAATAGAAGTAGATTCCAGAGCTGCCGGATCTACACTGCGTGTGGCTGCTCTTGCTCATGTGTGCTTCTCCCCGAGCTAACCATCTTGTCCGCCATCCCTGGTAGCGCCATATGCCGAGGAGCACGAGAAGGCGGTGTCAAGCCTGCCAGCTTGGCACGCCGGCCACCGTGGGAGGCCTTGGGCTCCAAGCAGCGCAGCGCGATGCCACGGCCCCTGCTTCGCGACACGCGCGCTGCCGCGCGTTCAAGTGGGCCACCCCGCGCTCGCAAGACACCAGCACGCGGACATGCAGAGCAGTGGTCGCCAAGAGGGTCCTGCTCCCTTCCACACCGGCACCGCGTTGGGACGAAAGGCGAAGGCAAGCGCAGGCGCCGCAACAGCAACCGACGAAAATGCGCGGGCTCAAGGACCAAGTCCGGGCAAACGGGGAGCATCAAGAAGACCTGGGCTGAGCACGGTCCGGACTGGGACAGCAGCATGGCTGCAGAGGCTGCATCCAAGTTGTCGCTGTGGGCAGCCGCGCTTTGCAAGTCAAGAGTTGCCGACGCGGCTCTCTGCCACCCCCGCCCGATGCGAGGAACAATGTCGTCGTCCGAAACCTCGGAGCCCGAGTGCGGGCTTGCGCCCTGGCAGCGGAGGGGGCCGCCCGACTCCCTTCCAGACCCCGCAGCGCCCAGGTCCTGGCTGTATGCCGCTCCTCTTGGACGCCGCGGGCGTGCTCCAGGACGGGGCGTCTGCCGCCTGGCGCAGCCATCCCGCGTTTGCAGCGGCCTGCGCCTCCGGCACGCACAGGCGGCGGCGTCGTCCAGAGTACGAGCGGCCGTCGTGTTCCAACAGTCCGTTCTGGCACACCCCGTTGACTACTGGCCACAAGGCGCCTTTCGCGACCTCAGTGAGGGCTCCCTGTGCGACCTGCCGATGGTGGTGCGCAGGTGGGGGCCCGGGATGGCTATCTGCCAGCACCGGTGCAGGAAACACTGCTCCATTTGTGCGGCGGGGAGCAACTGGCTTTGCAAATTGGGGCGCAGGCCTGGCCACAGCCAACCGGCACGAGGCCCCAACCCGCCCCCTGCGCAACAAGCATCCGGAGGACGCGGCGATGGAGGCGGTCACAGTCGCACCCCGGCGCGCGCCCGCGCGCACGCCGCGGGGTCGCGGAAGTTGCCGCTAGTGACGCAGGTGGACGCCCCATTGCCGAAGAGGCCTTGTGGGCCGACCTCCGGGAGGTCGTGCTGGAGGCCGAGACGCGCAAGTGAGTGCCCTCCAGGCAATGCCGGGCTGCATGCGAGGCGCATTGCGGACACTCTTCCGGCTCGGCCTGCGGGAAAGCCGGACTCCCCGACAAGCTTGCACCCAGAATGTTGCTCTACCGCCGGCTGGGCGAGACACACCTCGTGCCAGAGGAGCTTTCGCGCCGAGCCCAGCTTGCCGCGGAGGGTCGGTGCCGACAACTCCTCGACGAGTCGGCCGCAGCAGCGCAAGCCGCGCCCGCCAGGCCTGGCAGACACCGGACCCGACGCAAGGCAAATACAAATGATGAAGCGCTCCGCCGAGCTCCTTGCGCCGCCGCGCCGCTGCCCCCGCCCAACTCTGACACGCTCGCGGCTTTGCGGGACCCAGCACGCCGGCCCCAGGAGCAGCAAGTCCCAGTGCCTGAGCACCTCCTGCGGGCGCAGTTAGCTGAGCGGAGCGTCCGCTCGGGTAGGCGGGGGGCGGGCGCGGGGCTGTCAGGGTGCACGGTTGAGCACGAAACGGATACAGATCTCCTCCACGCGGCGGCCCAGCAAGTCGCGCGAGCTGAGCCGGTGCTCGCCGCCTTGCGTTTGGGGCGGGTAGTTGGCCTGTGGCACAGCAATTCGCCGCGGTGTTTAGCGCCAACTGCGCGCCGTTCCAGCATGCGCCCTCGGCGCGGGCGGGCGCTGCGGCGCTCGCTAGGGCAGTGCGAGCTGTCACGCAGGGGGATCCCCGCCGGACCGTTTTGAGCATCAACGGCATTGGCGCGTGTGGCCCTATCTCCCGCTTTTGCATGCTGCAGGGTCTGCACCTTTCCTCTCTTGCACCCCACGTCGTGGCGCCCCGAGCACTTATTTGTTACGATGCCGACGGGAAGCTGCATGAAATTGTGCAAGCTGAAGGCGGGGAGCAGGGCGATCCGCTGATGCCAGCCGTTTTTGCCCTGGGGCAGCACGGCTCCTTGCTGCAAGCACCAAGCTCTCTAGAGCCGGGCGGAGACTTGCTTCCCTTTCTCGACGATGTTTACGTCACTTGCCCGTCACGGCTTTTGCCGCGCTCGGACAGGGGCTGCACGAGCAAGCAAACATTCGAGTCAACCTCGGCAAGACCAGGGTCTGAAACGCTGCTGGCGAGCCACCGCGCTCCCTCCTGGACGCTTTGCCGCCTGGCGTGAGGGCCGGCGTCTGGACAAGCGATCAGGCCTTGCCGCCGGCCAGTCAAGGCCTGGTCGTCCTAGGCACTCCACTTGGGCGGGACGAGTTCGTCCAGCAGCATCTAAGCGGGCTGCGTGCTCGCCATGAAGACCTCCCCCAGCGTATCTCGCAAGTGCCAAGCGTCCAGGCCGCGTGGCTCTTGCAGCTCCTCTGCGCGTACCCTCGGTGCAATTACGCGACAAGGGTCCTACCCCCAGCCAGTAAACAGCGCCCGGAGAGCTCAATTGCCTTTTCGCCTTGGCGGCTTGGGTTTGAGACCACGACACGCTCCCCGTGACAGGCGAGCGACATCCCCTGCTCTTGGCTTCTCTCTTGCGGGCGTTGACCGAGGGTGCTGGGGGCCATGCCCGCACGGCCGTTGCGACTGCGCGCGCTGCCGCCGCTGCCCTGCAGGACGCCGGCTCTGTGGTGACTGGCTCGCCGAGCGCCCACGCGAGTGGGGCGGCATGGCCAGGGGATGGCAGCGTGCAGCCTGCACAGTCATCGACCGCAGGGCCCTTGAGACGCTATTCCGTGAACTTGACGCAGCGTCTCGGGCCTTGATGTTGTCGCAAGCTGGGCCAGGAGGCAGCGTTGCTTTCACCACCATCGTCCAGGGAAAAGTTCCGGCTCACAGATGCCGTTTTTCGCACGCTCCTCCTTCGGAGGCTGCGATTGCCGCTGCCTGCGGCCCCCCGGCATTGTCGGTGCGGGGAGCCGTTGGACGTCCTCGGCGACCACAGGGCCGCCTGCGGGAGTGCTGAAGCGGCGCTCGTTCCCCCTCGAGCGTGCCACGGCTCGCGTCTTCCTCCGCGACCTCAACCTCGATGTGCCGCCGCGCGATGGGCGCCAGATCGAGGTCGTCGCGAATGGCCTGGCGGCTCCCTGGTCGCCGTTGATGTCACCCTGGTATCTCCCTGGTATCTCCCGTGCAGCGGTACGGAGTTAGCCGGCCCGGCAATGACGTCGAGCCTGGCAAAGCCCTCCGCGAAGCTGAGGAGAGGAAGCGGCGGACAACCTACCCGGAGCTCGCCACTGCTAGCCGGTGCCCGTGCTTGGCCTGGAGGTGGCGGCAGCCAGCCAGCGCGCGGCTGCGGCCGGGGCGTTCACACGCCGCTGGGGCCAACTGCTGGCGATCGCCGCCCAAGGCGCATCTGGCGCGAGGTCGAGCTCCCCCCCGAAAAGCCCGGCGGCGACGCATGCCATGTGCTGGTTCCCGTAACTGTGCCGCGTAGCTTGGGTTTCCGTGGCTGGTTCGTACGTTTTACCCTCCGGTAGTCGTAAAAAAGGCGTTGGAGAAAAATGTCCTCAACATCAGGCGGCTGTGGCACAGCGTTGGCAAGAAGTTGGTGCCACTGAGGGGCCTCAAACCCCTGCCGAGCGAGCAGGGTCACGGCTGCCCTGAGAGTGTCCAGGACAGCAAAGGCGCCTCCGGCTCGAGTTGGCGTACAACGAGGTCGGGATCTTTCCGGTGAATTGCCGACAAGCTGTCAGCCCACGAGGCCCAAAACGCCGCAGGTGCATGCAACCGGGCTGAACGCAGCCCCAGTCCGCCTGAGCGCATACGCCGCTGTTTCAGGCTGCGTCCCGATGCTTGTGTGAACGTGGAACGCAGCCGCAGTTGAGCCGCCAGGCCTGGCGGACATAAGTGCAGCAGATGTGTGGCGTGGCAATGCTCAGCTCCCCGAGGCAGAGCAAGGGAGTGCTGTTCTAGGAGCCCTTGCGGGCGGAAATGCAGTTGCGCGGGCCCAGCTCGACGCAGTGAACAACTTCGCCTCCTGCAGGTCCTCCCAACCCTTCCTGACCTGCAGGTCGCCTGGCTGCTGTTGCTGTACTGCGCGTCGCCACGGTCCAACTATGCACTTCGTATCAAACCCCCAGCACTCACCGAAGTGTGGACCAGGGCCTCAGCACCGGAGGGTCGACAACACATATTTTTACGGGCGACAAGCCGCATCGAAGTGATCTGCAAAATGCTGCGCCAAGGTTCGGGACACAAGCCGCCGCAAGACTGCCCGCCCGGCCTTTGCACAATTTGAGGAGCCTTTCTTCTTGCAGCGCGTGCCAGCATGCGATCCGGCGACATTCAACGCACGCACGTAGCTTAGTTGTACTTGACAGCGCATGCGTTGCGTGGATCGAGCTGGGCTACTAAATCTACCAAATTCGAACAACCGTTTGCTTGCACTGTGTACGGTTCGCAGCATGTATTCAGCCTGGGTAGTTCCATGGCTGAAATGCATGAGCATCGCCTTTACACGCAGCAGCTGCTCAACCTCGCCAGCGGTCACACAGGTTTTCGCCAGTTTTTGCTGGCCCAGTGGCGTACACCCAAGCATTAAGGGCACCACCGCATCAACTCTCCACGCAACGACGCGATTGAGAGCATGTGGGTGCAGTCACCCGAGGGCCAGATCGGCGCTGTTGAGCTGCGAGGGCCGGGCGCAGGCAGGAGCCGCCGATTGCGACTGCGCGGCGTTGCGTACGGCAGAGCAACGCAAGCTTGATGCCTACCTGGAGCTGCGGCGCCTGGGCCCACACCGCCTTTGCGTTCTCGCTAGCGAGGTTGGCAGGCGTTGGGGGCGCGCACCGCCCTCGCTCCGCCGGGCAGCCGTTGTCGCGTGGGAGCGACGATGGTGGGGTCTCCTCTCGGTGGCCGTCTGCCGCTTCGCGGTTAGGGCAGGGCCCGTCACTGGGCAGTTTTGGGTGGCCTTTCGAGTCGGCAGCTGGAAAAAGGCGTGTGACCAAAAAAAAGGCACGCAAAAAGACAAAACATGCAGGTTGGCTGTGGTGTCCACCTTGTCGGGCAGCGCTTGGCTCTCACCCGCGCGGCCTGGGACCCCTCGGAAGACCGGACGCGCTGTCAACGACCGCTTCCGCCTTGCGCCCGCTCCTACATTTTGCTTGCTTCCACTGCCCCCCCCTCTTCGAATTTGTAGCTCAAGCCCCTGCCACTCGCCTGACGTGGCGCACACAGCGGCTCCGCATGACTGGGGGCTGGTAGTGTCAAGGGCATTGATCAACCAAGACAGCACTCTCTCTGGGTGTGGCTGGGACGTCGTGGCGATCACCGTGTGTCCTGCGCCTGCTGAGCGCACGTTGTCAAACCGGCTTGTGTTTTCAAGCAATCAGCCCCAATGGCCTCGTCCCGCAACAGTGAATTGGGGCATGCTCTTGGCGGTGCAGAGGCGGCACGGAGGCAGTTGCGCTCGCTCACTCTCCCTCTCCCGCTCCGTCCGCATTTGTTGCTCGCTGGTCGGACCAAGCGGTGCAAAGGCGGCCGACTGCGGTGCTGGCACTAGGAGTGGGGCACAGTGCTTTTGGGGAGGCCGTTGGCAGGGAGGGGCAGTTCGTCCTCATCCAGCAATGGCTCACACGAATGGGCCGGGCTTTGAGGTGTGAGAGTCCATCTCGTGGCGGCTGCTCTTCTCTTGCGGGCGGGTGCGTCCCATCGGTTGTTTCGTATCAGCACGGTGGGTTGGAGCAATTGACGCGTTGAATTTGACAACCGAGCACTAGCTCAAATGATTTGAGCTGGTATGTCCTGTAAGCCAGTCTATACAGTTTTTTTCCCCCCCCCCCCCGGTAGGGGTTCAGGTCGGGCAGCGCAGGGTGGATCCATGACTGACCCCGCTTGAAGTTTCGGCACAGAGGCCACACGTTGCCTGCACTCCCCAGTTCCGCTTGCAACATGGTGCTGGCTGCAGCCTTGGGCATCAGCTCCTTCTTGGCGGGCGGCGCAACGGCGGCAGGCTTCTTTGAAAACAAACTTGCAGCCATGCAGAAAGAGTTGAAAGACGCCCAGGAGGAAGAGAAGGAGCAATTGCATTGGGACACTCAGTTGTCCAGAGAAACATGTATTATTTTGTTTTGGTTGGCTTTAGTTGTAGTGCCCTGGCTCCTTGTGCCCATGTTTCCAGTCACAGCAGGAGGCAATTGAAATGAAATGACATGAAATTGCTTCAGTTAACTTCAAAAGGGTTCAGATGCAGGTGCTTTAGTCGCATGTGAGGATAAGAAGCAAGTTCGCGGCCTGGGCGATTTGCTGCGCAGAGTCAACCACCTAGCCATCATCGTGGAGGAGTTTCCCTTGCGGGCTTTTTTTGGTGGTGGTCCTTTTTCTAGACATGGGCTTCTGCCCTTTCCCAGATTGGGTCCGTTTTGTGGACAAACGAAAAGCTTGTAAGCTTCCCAGTCTTCCTAGCCCTGGTAGGACGTGGGCCGCTCACTGGCCTGGTACTCGGACATCATCGGCTTCCAGCAGATTCAGCGCCCCAACTTCGACCGCCACGGGGACTCTCCGCTGGGTGGTCTTGTGCTCTTTCAAGCTTTGAACACGGTGTTAAGATTATTGTTTCGTATTTCGGGCTCTTGACGGCGCCCAGAAAACCTGCTAGCACAAGTTCAATTAGGCGTGGCTCACCATGGGCAACATCGAGCTGCACCTCATCAAGGGCAAGCCTCACACCAAGCGCGGCCAGCATCCGGACGACCTCATCGTGTGCCACCTGGCCCTGGAAGTCACGGATGCCTCTGCTGTGCTCCAGCGCTTGGAGCAGATGCAGGTGGGGGGGGGGGGAGGAGTTGCGGGGTATGAACTACTCCTTGGAACGAGTTTCATGGCGGCGCCACTGGTTGGAGGGGGATGGGAAGGGGAACTGGGAACTAGCCAGTTATAAAATTTTGGGGGATCATTTGGAAAGAGCACTTGTTATGATGTTGATGCTCATCACCTTTCAAGCATGTACACCCAAGTTTGTTGGGCTTGCCGATTCCTTGAACACTCCAGCATCCAACATCCTGGCGGTGCCATGGGTATTTGTACCTGGTGAGGGGACGCACCACTTGTCCTGACGCATCCTTTGTCATTCAAATTCGCATGCGTGACAAGCACGGGGTCAAAAAGGACGCACCCAGCCTGCTCATGTGCTAAACCCAGTGCTTCCTCGACTTTTCTTTTTACGACCTCAACCATGCAAAAATGAAAGGTTATAAAAGTAATGTTCCTCGACCATAAAATGGAGAGCTAGGGGCTCTCCTACCTGCAACACCCTGGCGTTTCTCGAGCGTATTTGGCATGGCTTAGGTCAAAACGAAAGACAACGGCTATCAATAAAAAGTAATAAAAGTACAGCCCTCGGCCGTAAAATGGAGATCTCCAAAAGAGTGGACATGGACCCCGGGAAGTTCAGCTTGCTGCAGGGTCCTGCGCATGTAGTTTTAGTAGCTCGCTGATCAGGAGGAAAACCGTCATTGTGCTTTCCAACACGACATGTGGCAAAATGTAGCGGTATGCATGTTCCTGACCATCAGCCCACTTCCATCCTTGAATGCAGAACTTTCTGCGCTTTTGGCAAAGGTCTGAACACGAATTCAGTGACAACGTTTTGGCAGTCAGCTCAAGATATCGACAGTCTGCATGATTTTTGGTTGAACAAATGCATGCTCTGGAAAATGACCGTGGACAATCCATGAACAATCTGTGGAACGGTGGAAAGGCTATAAAAAAGCATGGACAATCAGGCCAATATGCCGGGCCACCTTCAATTGAAATGGTCGTGCTTCGTGTGCTGGGCCGGTGGTGAGCTGCGCGCAACCCTTTCCGATTTGTTCCCGTTTGACACTTTTTTCATGCATTGTGCATTGTTGAGGGCTCAAAAGATGTTACCACCTCGTCTGCATGCCTCCATGAGGAAAAAAACACAAACAAAGCACACAATTACGAAACACGGAGAATGCAAGGTTTCTCCAAAGAAAACTTTTGCGCTTATGTGCATAGCAATGCTATCTACTTCAGGCAGCCAAATTGCAATTTTGAGCATTGGCGAGTTTGGCCAGTTGGATGACACATACTTCCACATCTCCCCAGGGGAAAAAAAAGAGAACAAAACAACGACATGCAAGCTTCCAAAGGTAGAATTTTCATAAAAGTGCAGCATATAGGCTCTACATAACCATCTTATGGTTGAGCTGCCTCGACCACACTTTGGACCGCTTTTGGGAGACCAGAGAACGCTTAGATGAGGACCCGTTCGGTAACAGAAGTGTGATTTTTGAAGTATTTCGGCCCAGGAGCAAAAAATGGTCTTCCGGGAAAAAGACCGGTCCAGCTACCTCGACTATGCTTTTTTTTGGCTTTTCGGAAGGCTGGGGTAAAGCTTGGGCTTCCCCAGAAGCTGGTCACGGGGCGCGCAAGAATCGCGTGACCGAATGAAAGCACCATGGGCGATCAAGTTGTTGAGGCAACCGAGACGCCTGTCTGAATGACCGACTGACCGACCAAACAGTGAAGTAACCACGCCACCACCGACTGGCTGACCAGGCGGGCACTCGATTGTCCTGCTTCCTCCCAAGTTCGGTTGTCGACCAGGGCATCCTTTTTTCCAATTTGCGTCCATACAAAAAACATGGCATGAAGGGGATCCACCCTTAAGGGCACATGACACAAAAACCAGCCGAGCACAGGAGGTGCAGCAGCACAATTTGCGGTGGCGCCAGAATGTGTCGGTGCCCACCCCCGAGACTTCGCGCACGGCAAAGTTCGAGTCCCACACGGACGGAGAGGGCAAGGTGACCCAATTCTTCCTTGAGGCCCTCGGGTGGCAAAAACCTCTGGGCCTATGGCACTTTTCGCTTTTCTGATTGATTCGACCAAAGAGGTCGCGGCCCTCCCCGAATGGTTAGTGTGGGTTTAGTTATGTCTTTTGAGTTCATTGCCATAAACAACCGCCATCTCAAGCAACAGGTCCGTAGTTTCGACTTATCCCCTGTGTCGCTTTGTTTTTCTTTGCGGAGGAGGTTGTTCCGTGGTTAGCGTCCCCAATTGTATACTCTCAATGGAGAACCCTGAACCTGCATTGGCCACTTTGCGATTCTTCCTCGACCATGTGCGGAGTGGAACATGCTATTTGAGCGTTGCGCTCCCATGGATGGCACTGGGAAGGGCAGTGTCCTTGAAGCGTTGCAGGTTGCTTCATCATGGACGTGGTTCCTTTAGGCCGTAAGCCAACCTTAAACCATCCCTGAACCCTAAACCAACCAGAAGCTAACCCGAAACCCGAAACCCCACCCTAAGCCAACCCTAAAACCAACCCAAAACAACCCTAACCCCCCCCTAAACCAACCCTAAACCAGCCCAAAGTACAGCAACCCTAAACCCTCCCAACCCGAAACCAGCCAAAAGTGAACCAGGCTGAGGGTTTCCCCGATGGCTGTGAAGCCAAAAGCAAAAGCCGTCCTCCCACTTTGAGAATCAAGGATCCGGATGGCTATTGGATCGAGATTTGCAATTGCTCCGAGCTCACCGACTTCTGCTTGGACGAGGGCCGCCATGTAGACGCCATTTCTCCTAAGGCGAGTATTAAAAGCTTGTAGTGAAGGAGTGAGTCCCAACCATGAGTAGGTGCTTTTGTGTTGGATCTTGGAGGGGATTATGGATTGGGACAGAAAAGTTTTCAGAACGCGTTTCAGGTTTCCCAGTTGTTTAGTGGGACTCTTTTTCCCGTTTTGTCCGGTGGTTCCCACGAAGCATGGGGTCAACTCCACAAAAAGTGGGGTGAACACCAAAAATGGGGTCCACCCCACCAATAATGGGGTCCACCCCACCAAAAAATGCGGTCCACCCCACCAAAACTGCTGCTTGTCAGGTGAAGGCTCTGGTGAAGCAGTGGGCCGACCGAGCCAGGCAGCGTTGTCGTGCGCCTTTTCGGACCCTGCGCCCAACCATGGCCATTGCCTTGCACCAGGAGGGCCTGGGAAAAAAGGAAGGGAAGGCCGTCTGATGGGTTGCCTGGAACCGCACAAAACGATGGCCGAACCCCAAGGCTAGAACACCAGTTTGGTGTGTCTTGAGGTCCCTTTGCCGGAAAGCAAGTCTCTAGCCTGTTTTGGATCTGTGTGCGACTGCTGGCGTGAGGGAAATCGATGGCATCGAATGTGGATTTTGGCCCGCTGACTGAGCCAGGTGGACAGTCAGAAGCTGGAGAATTTGGCGTGTCGCCGCACCACCTACGGGGACATTTGCCAGGGCTTCAGTGTGGAGCAGCTTCGGAAGGCTCTGGCGGATGCAGGAAACCATGTTCCTGTGGCCATCAGGTTGCTCCAACAGGTGCGGGCACAGGAGGGCAAACGGATCTTGCTGCCCCCGAAGTTCCTGGACAACTCCAAGCACCTGCATCAGACCCAGCCCATCTACATGGAAAGGCCCAAGCCGGTGTTGTTGGGCAACGCCGGCAATGCGTACATCTTCTCACAGTTTGTCTAGGTCTCAATTTTGATGTCGAGTTCTGATTGTTTACAAAAGGACCATCGTGTTTGAAGGCAGGGCAAGCCGGTACCCAAAGATCAACCTTGGGCCACCTGATGCTTGGTCTTCTTAAGCCTCGCGCCGAACAAAATGGCCGTGTGTCAAAACTAGAGAGAAAGCAAGGCCATTTTGACCTCTCACGCCATGACCCCAATTGCTCAGAGGGGGTTCCTAGTTTTGACACATACCCATCTCCCGCGCGGGGCGAGTAGGACTACGGCCACAAGTTTTGAGTCTCCAGGCGAAGCCTGAGGCTCTTTCCGGTGCCACCAGGCAACGGATCGGGCGATGTAACAATTGCATCTCCGACATCGCCAGGCACAAACTGCCGGGGGCGAATCGAATTTCAATCTTTCCGTGAAGGGAAGATGCATGCCAGTTCTGTTTCGGGATGAGCTACTGAGATTCCCTCCCCAAATGAGGCCTAAGGCCTAGTCGAAGGTGAGCTTCGGCTTGTTGCTGGCCAGTAGGTTGGGGTCCTTCTGATTCCCACCGGCCGCAGGAAAAGAGTATGCAGGGCGCTCCTTTGTTTTTTTGCCAGGCTTAGGCACCCAATGGACGCACCACAGCATGTAGGAGCTTGTGTCATTTACCTTGAGCCTTGGGCTCGGAGACGGCACAAGTCTTCTTTCAACATGTTTTTTGGATGCGAGAGAGGTCAGAAGAGACAAATGCAGACCCGCTCTACCCAGAAGGCCCTTCTAAGGCGCTTTGCGGTTGGCTCACTTGCGCCCCATTTGCAACGTTCCTGTGCTTCTTTCTTTGGTTTTCGCTTGAATATTTTGACTTGGCCCCCAAGCCAGGCAAGGAATGCTGGATTGGAGACCAATTCTTC